AATATTGATGCCCTCCCATTATGGGATATTATAAGTTATTCGTAACTTTAAATATGGTAATAAGTCAATCTACCCTTAAGTTGAAATTAACGACACAAAACGAATTTTGCTGAACACAAATTTGCAATTTTATGAGCGATACCTATATTATAAGACGGAGACAACACTTGCTCCACGAGTAAACGAAATCGGCTGATCGAAAAATAAATATTACGAGTTGTGGTGTGATTAATCAAAATTTTTTTAGTCGAATATACGTAATGTAACTATAATATAATTCACATTTTTAACTGTCAAATAAATAATTAGTAGGTAGGGCAAGGTTAACGATGATGTTGACGACTGTTAGTGCGTAATGTGTATAATCGCTGTGTAGCGTTTAAATTATTAAATTGATAATTTTTTAATTACTGCGCCTTTAGAAACCTCGCTTCTAAGTAAATAATTGTACGGACGGCACTATATTATAGTATAATCAATAGGACGTAACGCCTCCAATGCCAGTGGCACACTTACGTGGGAGTTCACGTCTCCAGAGCAAACAAACTTTTTGGATGGGACTGAGTGTGCACATGAAATATTTAGCAACACAAAAATCCTCAAAAAAATTGTTCGAACATAATAATATATACCATTACGTGTTACTTCTGAGTAAATTTTTACTATATTGTATCTGGAGTATATATTCTTGTACAGTAACTACTAACTATATTTACTTATTGCGAATTTGATTTATCATATTGTCCCGATAAATTTTAGTAAACGCTTCAACGCTTGTATAACGCTTACATTATTGTAAAACGTGTTTATCGAATTTTTCAGATGTTTGAAAGTAGAACATTTTGCAGGGTAAACGTTCTGTACTCATATTAATGTTTAGTATTTTCGCATTATATTTGTAATGAAATGTTGCAGCGAAGTAAACAGTTCTATATATTATACAAATACTATCAAAATTCGAAATGCTCTAACGTTTATGTTAGATTCAGAGCAGAGCGTAAACATATTGATTTTACATTAATAAGTATTTATATTAGTTTTGTATTTAAAAACGCTTTTTAAAGTGTAAAAAATCCTTTGATTTTCAATTTTTTACTCAGGCAGTAAATCTATTCTGTACTTTGAAAGATCAAAGGCAAACAATTCGCAGTATTTTTCAAAATAATATGAAATTAAAAAAAAAAAAAATACCTAAAAATGTTAATATTATTATTAAAATAATATTGTTTGGTAGGTAGGTAATTCTAGTTATCAAACAGTTAAACTGTCCTAGCTCAGAATCGTTAAGTTAGTGTTAGAATGGGCGTTAAAGAAAAACAAAGTTCCAGTAATTTAAAAAATAATGGGTAAAAACAAAACAAATTTAGGAAAAACAGGAATTTATTAAACCAGTTTTTGACAAAAAATATTTTCCTATTTTGTTGTAATTCAAAGACAAATAACCATATATTATATTATTATACTTGTTATGTAATTTTAAACATTCATAAAAATAAAAATCCACAACAAAGTGTTAAATTTGAATTATATAATTATACTATTTGGTTTGATGATTAAGGATATATTATTATTGAACTTAAAATTTAAACTTAACTTACAATTATTACTGTGTATATTAATTAATTTAGGTAAATTACGGTTTACGATTATCGAATTATTATTTAAAAAAAGTAAATTTGAATATTATATTATTTTTCTCAGAAGCTGTTGGTGTCATTATAATTTTTCCAAATGAGTAAAATGTTGCAAGCAAAGTTTCAGAAATTCGAGCTTTACTATTCAAATTTCTACGAACTTATACTTAATTTATTATACTACGGTTCTTACGCATGTTTTCTGTTTTTTAAAAGTGAAATATTTTTAATTAGAGGATGCTATTCAAAACGTTGTTATTTTGTTTAAATATTCAACGAGCTAGAGTTTCATATAAATTAAAAAAGAGTAGGTACTTAAAACATTTTAATTGAACATTTATCCCGTTTGGGTTTCTTTACAATTTTGCATTCCTAATGAATGTATTTAATTTTGGAGGGAACGAAATTAATGTGTTCACCGGGGGAAAAATGGATATTATTCGCTACACGTATACCAGTTATAACGTAGAACAAAATCAACCGATATATTATTTTCTTGTTAAATCAAAATGTAGGCTCCTAAAACACGTACGGTACTCGCACGTTCATAGTATAATTTAGGTACCTAATATCGAATATCGTTTAAGCTATTGGCGAAACAATATAATAAATGTATCAGCTACAAAACACACACACACACACACACACACACATACACATACGCACACACACTTGTGTCATGGTCGTGTTTTTGTTTTGGTTCTGATGTCCGATAACGAATCGATTTCGAAACAACTACAACTTACCTACTATTCTCCTTTTATTTAGCTCTGTATATACATCACAAAATACAATAATAATAATAATGACTATGCGGTAGTTAACGATAATACAGTATTATGGATCCGGTAGGTACCTATATGTTATATAGATATACCTTTTTAAGAAAAAAAGTTTTAAACTCACGTTTTACACGTTCCAGCTGTATATTTAGTATGCCGTCATGCAGTCGTAATATTATTCCGGGCTGCATATTATTATATATTTCGTCCATTGTGATATATGTACATAATATTACATAATGCATTATACTGGGAAATACGTATTGATCATAATATTTTCCTTTTTTGGTTAGGTGTATCAGACATGCCAAGTTCGATGTATAAATAGGTATATAATATTATAATATAGTGTATACGCGTATTTTATGCTGTCGTGTTCAGTTTATCTAATAATAATAATAATAATAATAATAATAATAATATTCCAAGCTCTCGAAATTGTGAGGTGGCCCGACAACAAATACATCACAGATATAATTATATTATATTAATATTATGCACTGGATGATTCACCGTTCGTACTTATTCCCTCCGCTGTATCATCCTACACTGTCTGAAAAGACTTCCAGAACGCTATGGTGAGGTGAAAAAGTCGGCATTTGGAGTGCTGACGATCTTTGGATGGACACATTCTTGCGAGCAAGCGTTGTCTAATAATAATAAAAACTTAAGTAAGAAGCCAACTAACAAATACAAATCTAGGGTCGATCTTGAACCTTAAAACTACTCCATTTTATTGTTGTATTTAATATATTTTAAATAAACTATGACACTGTTATAATACTATTGTATGACATGAACATTACTTATACATTATACTACGTTGACACTCAACGACTTATAACTTATAACAAAGTACTAACTGCTAAATATGATAACATGTAGTGGTGATATAATTATTATTATTATTATTACAGTGTTACCTTATCATAACATCTTCCTTCTTTTTTTTTTTTTTTTT